TGCTGACAAGCACTGTTTTACTGCCCTTGCATTTGATATGATTTGCTATCTTGCTTTCTTCATAATCCATCTTTTAGTATTTCTAGCAGGACTGTCTCTCGTTCCGTTCCAGACCACGTGGTCTCCACAGCATTTGCCTTTCCATCCCTCCAGAAGCTTTTCTTATATACTGATGTAACTTGTGTTCTGTGTGTCATCAGCACCAACAAACTCAGAATGTTTTAGAGGAAAAGGGTTAAAATATACGTTAAGATGCAGCATGTGACATCATATGTGTTATACGTTATTTCTATCACAGGCTTTTCTCTCTTAAACCCAGAGTTATTTCTCCCTGGGATTGAGAATGGAGCTGCACATTCCTCCTGCTGTCTATACTGGGGAAGTTTAAATCTGCCAGAATTTTACATAGGAAATAAAATAATCAAAATCTGTATCATGTGAACACTTTCTGAAAAGTGCCTTTAGGTGTCACCTTCTCATCCTTTCTGCTTCCCATCCACTGCCTAATATGGGACTGTACTGTCACAGTGCCAGCAGTGGAATGCAGTTAGGCTTCTGTGCCCAGCCGAGCCCTTCGATGGCCCCAGCCTGCTTCCTATCTTGTTAATGGAGATAACTCCAGCATGGGTGGGAGCTGCGTACCAGGTGTGAGATGTTCACAGCATATCAGGGGCTCCTTTCTTCCTCCAAGACCTGTGAAGACTTTTGTTCACAGGTCTTGAAACATGAGGAAGGCACATGATTCTAATAAACAGAACAATCCTTGTAGTTACCCCTTACTTTTAATGAGCCTTCTTTTAAATGCCTATTTTGCGTAATTATCCCAATTTCAAGGAAGGGCAAAAAGGGTACGCAGTGGGATGTTACTGCAGATTTATTCACTTACGTTTTCCTGTAAGTGAACTTGTACAGTTGCCCAACTGTTTAACTAAAATCCAATTATTCAGATTCATTATGCGCCTAAGGGCAACTCTGAACTATGTTTTCTATCTTGCAGCTGAGGATTTCTCCAGCATGAGAAAACTGCTGAGGTACAGACAGTCCAGTCTGCTTCTGCTTTTGGCAACAAGCATTGTCTTAAGCCCCAAAATAAGTCCGAGTTGCCTAGAACAGTCTCGCTCCAGCTTACTGCAGGACTAGACAAATGAGGTGGCCTGAGTCTGTGCACTACATTGTGTCATTCCTTATATGTAGATTGTATGAAGGAAATAAGCAGTGATGAAGAACAATGTCTATGCCTAAGGGACCAATTGCTAGTTTTGATGCCTGACATAGCTCTACAAAGTGTTTTTAACTCCTGCTGTTTTCATCCCCTTGCTCACCTTTTTATGCCCTTTTGCAGTCAATCCTGGTCTCTAGTAAACTACAGGCAGAGTGACCAAGCACCACATGCTGAAAATGAGCCGAAAGAAAAACTCTAAACCTTAAGTGTCTGCAAAACTAGTTTTAGTTGCCTTTCCTCTCTTAGAGTTTGAACTACTCTACTTACTTCTGCAGTTTCTTCTTGTTTTCACGTGGCTTGGGGCATGAACAGTGTTGTTAGTGTCTTCACTGCACTGCCCTCAGGTCCCTGAAGACTCTTTTGGGCCAATGAAAAACATATTGTAAATTAAAAGTTTTCAGTTGCTATTTCTTAACATTTTTCTTGCCTCAGAACTGTTCTGCTGGTCACTGTACATAAAACTTCACTTTCCAAGTGGTATGTATAGATCCTTCCAGTTCAATGCAGTCTAGTCCTGTTAGGCACAGAAGAAACAAGTAATCTTTAATTTTATCTTCCATGCAAAAAAAAAAAGAAGTCCAAAGGTGGCTAAATGTCACACTGAAGTGATGCTTTGTCTAGGGATACAATGAGGCTTGTTTAGTGATTTGTGTAAGGAATGTCAGATAACAACAAATCGTTAGCCAACAGCAGCAGAGTTGGAGCTGAACGGACAGGCAAGAAAATGTACCCTGGCTTTATGGGCTCATATGTTGGGTGAGATGTCTTTCTAGCCATGCTCTGATGCACAAACCACTTCCAACCTTGCTTCCACAGACAGTCAGCAAACCCCATCTATGCTGTGTTCTGGGAAGACCAGTACAATGGATTTCTTATCAGTCCCATAATGATACAGGACTGCATCTGGAGCTTAGACTGTTTGAAGGAAGAGTTCAGGAACTGTAACTCAGACACTCCTAATGTGACATACGCAAAAAACCTGTAACTAAAGTGTTTTGCCAAATTCCTTATCTGTAAAGTATTTCTCACTGTGTGTGCCTAATGTGATGGATAGCTGCTCCTGGTAACAGTTAGGGATGCTTTAATTAAGCATGACTTGGGGGGGGGGGGGGGGGGGGAAACGGGCGGAAGGAAAAAAACCTTCAGTGCTTTTGTAGCCTTCAGGTTCTTCTGTCAGGTGAGGGATGGCTGCAGTTAATCAAGATGATTATGGCTAGCTGATTGAGTTATGGTTGCTTTTGAAGAGCTAGGCAATGTGCTAATGTTTCCTATCCCTTAAGATCCAACAGGATTATTCACTAGTGGAGAGTCAAATGTAAATTCAGATGTTTTGGGCAGTCTGTAACTGTAACCAAAAGAGCAGATTTCTAAGGGACGCTGGTAGGGATGTGCAGAAGGGTCCTGAAAACTTTGTAGCCCTTAAAAATGCTGCCAGTACTTCAGAGCAGTAGCTTGAAAAAGCTGGTGTTTTGGAGCCACCTTCTGTCTGTTTCATAATACTAAACTACAAGACAGACCAATGTTTTGTGATGTTAAGCTCAGATCATCAATTTATCACTGTGCAATGTTGCTGCCCTTTAAAAATAGTTACATAATGCTTTCCTGTATGGTTCTGCAGACTGTATATAAATCCTCAGTCTGTCACGGATAGGGAGTTATCACTGCCTCAGTAGAGCTCCTCTCCACGGAGACTTTTCAGCAGGCTTTTTGTGCTTGGTACTACTAAACTGATAGGGAAAACCAAAATTGGCTAGACAGAAATTAAAGGTTTTTGGTGTAGAAAGATACCCTGAAGTGAATCTCTTCTGTAGCAGCTATGATGTATGTTGGTAATGTTGCAGCTGTTGTTTTAGATTATTTAGGTGCTAACCCCTTAGAGGAGTTGAGCTGAGGAGCCAAGGTATGATGTGACGACACTGTCAATTCTCTCCACAGACAGTACTACTGGTATGATGAGCGGGGAAAGAAGATCAAGTGCACTGCTCCTCAGTATGTTGACTTCGTCATGAGTTCAGTGCAGAAACTAGTGACAGATGAGGACGTCTTTCCAACAAAATATGGTATGTCTGCTTTTGCACGGGTGCTTCCTGTGGCTCTGCTGATGCTATAAGTAAGGTGAAAGTTGGCATTCAGCATATGTACTAATACCAGACAGCTTTCTTTCTTGTATGTTTGATTTTTTTTTCTTTTTTCTTTTTCATGGAGATTTTAAGTTTGGTTCATTCTTGCAGTAAGAAGGACTTGCGCTGTTGGTATATGAACTGGCGCGAAAGTCTCACAATCCTGTCCCCTTGGCTTGTATTTCATCATCGGTACATTGTTTTCTTCAAGCATCTTGAGATCTTCTAGCCTGTATTCAGAGAGGGTAAAAATTTTAAAACTGTCAGCATGTGTGTGTTCAGTACAGCCTGCGGGTAGTAAAATTTAACCTTGTAGTTGTTTTACTGTTTCCTTTAGAGCCCCGATGCATTAAGGGAGATATAAATTGGATTACCAGGAATGTGGCTTGTCTTCCTTGCCCAACTAGGCCTTGTGTCACAGATTGTTTGCAGTCTCCTTTCCCTTCCAAAGATTAAATAAGAATGTGATTTTTAAAATTTGAAAAGCAATAGGAAAGGAACTTTAACTCAAATTTGTATCCTAATAAGATTGCTCCACGCAGTGCTTTTCGTTAAGGGGAAGAAATAGAGACCTGAAGTTATGGTAGATGGTGGGCTTAATCACGACTAAAAGCAGCTGGGGTCTTGAGCCCCTTCAACAGATAATTGGGGAACGAGGACATTACAATATAGCAAATGTTAAGCTAGTAGTAGCCTTTGTGTATAAGCATTTTTGATCTGGAAAGAGGTGGTGTCTAGTAAGCCAGCAGCTGACTTTTTTTTCTTTCCTTTGGGTAATATGCTTGCTCAAGGGCAATGAGGGCCTTTGATGCAAGTGATTTGTGCATGTGGCCAAGGTGCACTTTAGACCAGTAACATACTTCCTATTGTGCATCGTGCACAGGATGGCAGGTGTTGCTTTTGTGCTTGCCTCAGTTTCACTTTCAGTGTTACCAAAGTGATTGTCCAATAATTGTCTTTTACTATGCAGGCACAGCACTGCTCCAGCAAGCACTATTTCAACTGCATCTGATATAAGGCACCCAGTATTTCCTGCCATTTCTTTTCCCACTTGGTAGAATTTCAACAATGAAATGAGGGAAGTTGTTATATATAGTTAGTCAAGCTGCTGCACACTACCAAGGCCCGAGTACCTTAGGTTCTATTTCAGGATCTGTGAATTGGTCTCCCAAGCATTATGTACTTCCAGGGGGAAAATCTTCTACTCCTGGACAAACTAGACTCTGAAGAACCTCTTGTCATTTTTGCAGCCAGTAACAAAAAATGTTGTAATTTTAAAGAATGATTACACTTGCTTCCTGATTTTTGAACCTTAGGACTTAAAACTTAACTTCAAATGAAAATGCTTAAATTCTTCCCCTGAACTCCTATAAAAAGACGAGAGGATGATACGGGGCCCACAAGTTGTCTGCTGTATAAAGTTGGCTAGTTGCTCTTACCCACAGCTCAGCCCAAACAAATGCTGCTGTGGGGCTGAAGGTGAGCAGCTGGAGCTACATGCTGTTTCTCTGTCTTCCTTTCAGGCAAGGAATTCCCAAACTCATTTGAGTCCCTAGTGAAGAAGATCTGCAAGTACCTGTTCCATGTGCTGGCCCATATCTACTCCTCACACTTTAAGGAGACTTTGGCACTGGAGCTGCACGGACATTTAAACACGCTCTACACACACTTTATCCTATTCATCAGGGAGTTCAACCTCGTGGACCCTAAAGAGACCACCATCATGGACGACCTCACAGAGGTCCTCTGCAGCAGCAGTGGGAGCAGCAGTAATGGGAGCGGCAACGGGAGCAGCAACAGCGCAGCAGCACAGAACCATGTGAAAGAAAGATGAGCCCTCCTACAGGATCAAAACTAACATTAAAAACAATATTATATATTCTGTGCGTATGTATATGTTCAGATATACATACAGACATATGCAGCAATGAAAGCTGAAAGAAATTACGCTGCCACCACAGGACATGTAGCTGTATGGGACTGTATGAAGCTTTGGTTTAATGCGCCACCTGGCGAGAAGTTGCACCAATTTTATTTTATTTTCTGTCCACTCCTCCTTTTAACTATTCAGATGGATGATGAGTGCTGTTTTTAAGAAAGCCAAGCCTGAGAGTGGGGCCACTCTTGGCTTTTTTGGTTTGGTTTTGGGGTTTTTTTGTTTGTTTGTTTGTTTGTTTGTTTTGGTTGGTTGGTTTTTTGTTTTTCTTTCTTTGGTCTTGAGTGCAAGCCCTTTGTCTTTCTAGGATGGTGGTCCTGCCATTTAAAAAAAAATCTATTATATTATAAGAAGTGACTTTTACTTTGAAGTGGCTTTTAAAATGCAGGTTTGTTTGGGCTTTTTTGGGGGGTGGGGGTAGTTTTTTGGTTTGGTTTTACATAGACTGCCCCATACCCTTGCCAAAAACTCCTCAGTTGAGTGCATCTTGCCCTGTTAGCTTGGAAGGGGAAGAAACTCTTGGATTGACTAGAGCAGCAACTAGGGGCTTGCTACGTGTTGAAAGTGGGCATGATTCTCCAGTTGTCCTGTCTGCGTGGTCACAACATTGAACATGCAAGAGGATTCACAAGCCTATTTACTTATTGCTCTTACAACACATACACTATTTTCTCTGCTTCCCCCACTTCCTCTTTTCCTAGGTACACCTCTACAAATGAAAAGAGTAGGATCACTGGAGTCCAAAACCCATATGCAAGAGCCACCACCATTTCTTTCCCATTGAACAGAGGCCCAGGGAGGGGGAAGAAGGGTACACTGAGTCGGTCAGTCACCGCCTGCGCTAGAAAGATGGCTGTTGGCATAAAATTATATTGTTGGCTTATTTTAGTTCATCTGTTCTATAATAATAAAAACAAATCTATCAGCCATAAGCTTTGTTTTGTGTTTGCAGTGTCAAAAGTCAGTGGAATCCACCCATACAGCTTCCTTTTCACCACTGAATGCTGGTGGCCCTGCTGTCAACCAGCTTTATAAGTAATTGTCTTCCACCCTGTAATCTTACATTTGTAATCAATTCCTTGTTCTTTCTGGTAGTGCTAGCAACCTCCTCCCCAGGTGATCTGAAGATAAGCAACACTTGGGAAGAAACAAGTTTCCTGTTTGTACATACTTAAATTCTGCAAATGCAGTGGGCTTCTGGATATTTTGTGGTGAATATTGTATCACAGTATCTGTGGATACAATATTGTATCTGGACAGTGATACTATTTCCTTCACGTTTTCACTGAATTCTTGCAGTCAGTATTTCCAGTTGGGAAAACGCCAAATTTTGCTTGCAGTTGTGCTCCTATCAACTCAGCATCAGCCTCTGAGAATTGTTTGTTACTGGTTTTGGTCATTATCCTGAGGTACGTACATCATTAATAACTGACCTGGAATGAATCCCAAAAGGTTTTCCTGAATGAGGTCTGTAACTAGTAAAAGTCAGTAGAGAGAAGAAAAGGAGAGCAAGTGCAAGGAAGAGAGAGAAAGAAAAGCACAAGCAAGAAAACAGCTTGTGAATAAGCATGCAAGAGCAACAACAAATAAAGGATGAAAAATACGGAAGTGAGAAAAAAGGCACGTGCATAGGACAAGGGAAGTGGAGGAATGAGTGAGAGAAAACAACCTCAAACTTGGTGTGCCCAGACTTGTCCTCTGTTAGTTTGTTTCCAGATTGTGGGTGCCTTGTGAACCTGCAGGCAAATGTGCTGGAGTCGCGCTGACCTGCTCATCTGGGTGCTGTTAGCACAGGCTGTTCAAGAGCACTCCTTCCCCACTGTGTCCTCCTGCTAGGGCCTCCATATCCAGATGAATATTCCCATTCAGTCTCCATTCACGCTGATGTGAGCCTTTCCATTACAGTTCCCTACACTAACAGCTGAAGGGAAAACTAGAGGTCAGCAGAAGCTATCAGAGCAATGCCATTTGCAAGGCTACTTGCACTGAGAGCACACAGTAGAGTGAGTTCAAGGTAAGAAAGCAGTAGTAGCAAGGACACCACCAGACCCATGCATTTCTGGTAATTTATTGTCTACTTGTAAAAAATGCATTTGCTGTCTTAATTCTAAAGGACCATTTAGAAATGATGCACAGTTGGGAAAAGTTTGACTTGAACAAGAGGCAGTTCAACCCTCTCTGGAAAGACTGACTTAGCTACAACTCTTAGGTTTCAGATCACAACACAGTGATATGTGTTTCAAATGCAAGGGTGACTATACCTTAGCAGTTAGTTAGAAGTGACAGACGCTTGTCAGTCTGGGAACCCATGCGTTGATGCAAAGTAGCAAACCATTAATTCAGCTACCAGGAGAACAGTGAAATACCACGTTGCCTCCAGAAGAGCCTGCTGCTGTTCGTGGCAGCTGTCCCACGTTTACTCTGCAGACATTTGATATTCCTGAAAGCATAGAGGCTTCATCTAGCAGGGTAAGCTTTTTATATTTTACAAGCTGTTAACAAGAACACACGTAATGAATCCTGCTTTAGTTTAGCCTATTTTGTTGGTTTTAGTAGTGGGAGTAAGGAAAGCACTGAAATAGTGGCAACACACTAATGTTGCTCTTGTCAAGTAAATGTTACTGTAAAGCTCAGCCTCAAGATGTCCAAGCATATTTCAGAGGTTAGTAAATTATGCTTTAGTAACACTAGATACAGAAGTGCCACTGAGTCTTCAAACTCTGCTTGGTTAATGCCACTGAGGCCTGTCAGTGACCTGTGTTTGCAGCATGTCACTGACTCTCCACCCTGTAAGCACTGATCCTGAATCCCCCTGCAGCTAACACTGAGGAAATGTCATATTGCTGCTTTAAATGTGTTTTGTAAATTGTTCAAAGCACTGTAAGAACAAGAGGCACCTTAATTATGCTACATTCAACCCCCCCGCCTCCCTCCTCAACCCCCTCTTGTCCTAAAGATAACTTACTTACTACACCATGGTTTAAAGGTTGCTAAATAAATAAAACAAAAAGCATTAAACACCCCAGAAAGAATAACCAAACACTGCTGGACACCACCTTTTAAACTATCTACATAGACACACACATATCCCCCAGCATACATGCCTTTTGTAGGCCTTGGCAAACTCTCAGCTTTACATCTGCTATCGCAGAATCCCTAACCAACTTTCTGGCTAAAACCATGATGATGAGCACAAGTTGTCACAGCATTAAAGTCCTCCCCTTATTAAAACCAACAGTAGCCATATGTATGTTTTGTAGGATTGTGTTCCTGACATTTGGTCCTCTGGACATGGGAGTGATGTGCTGAAGAGCTGAGGTTGCATAGATTTAGAGCAGTGGGGTGAAATGTTACAGCAAGCCAAAACTTTTTCCCCCCTTGTTTTGCCATTCTCAGTAAGTCTTTGAGGCTGCAGCATCCTTAGGAAATCCAAGCATAAGTGCCTGTAAATAAAAACAGGAGGAAAATAAAATACCAGCAGCAAGGTCATCAGCTTGCACCTGTTACATGGGCTACCTCTGGCCATTCGTGGGAATGGGACACAGGAACAGTGCCACCAAGTCTTCTGCACAGAGAAACAGCCACTTTTAGCTGTGACCTCAAGGCAATGAAGCTGTGTAGAGATCACTGCACCAGCTTGACCCCAAGCCTAAGAAAGGTCATGAAGTGGCAAGCTGTAAATTGAGTCAGGCATCTTCTACTTCAGCCCAGCAAAATCTGAGCTACACCCTTCTTTCTTGCCTGAGAATTGTAGAAAGTTATGAAGTCAGAGATCCCATAGAGCACACTCACTTTATATATGAATAACAACCTTTTAACCAAGAACTTCTAAGAAAAATGAACCTTGCTGCTTACGGAACACTTTTCTGACAAGAAGATCTGAGGAGGGAGGTTCTGGCTCTGAGATACCACCAGTTCTGGCTGAACATGTGCATACCAAGGTGCTCCTAGAAGTGGTCGGGGGGGCTAAAGGTGGATGCAGTCGGGTAACAATTAGCTCCTGCACATTAGCAGAAGACTAAAAGACTGTCACAGAAACAAGCAATCCCATAAAAGACCAAGCCAACTTTATGAGTGCTTACTAAGTATTCTGATGTCATACAAAGCCAAGCTTCATCAAACAAGCCCTTACTCACATCTGTCATGTAACTTGTCCCAGCCAAGCCTTAGCTCACAGTTTCAGCTGTTAACATTAAGACTTGAATCCAGAAATGCTCTTCCATTATCTAAACTGAGGACAGACTGATAGGTGGTTGTTTTATTCTGTTCAAACCTACTAAACAAATGAAACCAATGTGCATGACTGTAGTACAAATGGCAACACCACACAGTTTAAATCTAGTTCTAATGCTTGAGTGCTGGCAGTAGTTACAGCACAGAGTTCAGTATGGCTAAGTTACCCATGCTGCTGTGGCAATACTAGTGCCTGAATACAAGCTCAATACCTGAAGGATTTAAAGACAGATCTGGTATCTTTACATGATACAGCTGTAGGCAGTACAGACAAATCCAAATATTCCCAATGAAGCTGATGATATGATATAAAGTGAGAAAAACACCAAACAGCTGGCAAAAAACCCTCAGTGTGCTAAAGGGGTCTCCATTCTTTTGATAGACAGAACTGTTCTGGTTGTGACAGCTGACACAAAGAATTAGATTTTTCAAAGCTAGGTTAGCATGTGACTCAAAACAGAAATTGTTGTGGCCAAGCACTCAGATGAGAGAACATTCAGAGAGCTTTGTCTAGACAAAAAAAAAAAACCACCACACCACCCCCAACTAGCCTCACTTCTCTGCTAATTCTTCTAATTATAATTAAAAAAAGGGCATTAAAATACTCTTGATGCTTTCCCACGCACCAGCACAGACAGTTAACATTCTCTCACACAGTGGTGCAA